GGAGATGACATGTTCAAAGTCACTCTGGGATATAGAGCACGTTTAAGGTTACCCTGGTCAATTTATCAAGACCCTGTCTCAAAATAAACAGCAACAACAACACCAAAACCCCAACAACAACAACAACTCCATTACTACCACTAGAACAATGGTTTTGGGAATGGAGCTCACTGGTTGTGTAGGATGTGTGAGGCCCAAAATTCAGTTTCTAGTTAAATAAACAAATAGTTTTCCAAAGTAAAGGGAACACAGACTATTTCTAACAGGATCTCAAGGGCAGGCTGTTTGACCCCCCCACCCCAGGGGAGGAGCAGTCTGTTAGGCCACAGAGGAGGACTTTGCAGCCAGCCCTGAAGATACCTGATAAAACAGGGTCAAATGAAAGGGGAGGAGGTCCCCCCCTATCGGTGGACTTGGAAAGGGGCAGGGAGGAGACCAGGGAGGGAGTGTGGGATTGGGGAGGGAATGAGGGAGCGGGATACAGCTGGGACATAGAGTTAACAAAATGTAACTAAAAAGAAAAATAAAATTAAAAAACAAACAAACAAGCAAATAACAACAAAACCCACCAAAATAACTAACAAGGCCGTAATTGATCAGCTAAAAAGTTAAAAATCCCCTTCGTCCGAGAGATGAAGGTATCTACATCTTGGCTCCTGGGTTCTTATAATCGCCTTTGCGCGGATTGTTTAAAACCCAAGGACTTCTATCGCTGAGGAGAGGGGATTACTTCACATTCTGGCCCTCTAGATAAGCATTATGAGTCAGAATCCCAGAAACATCAGGTAAATTGGCCTTCACTTTCACAGTTCAGAGCATGCAAGGGAGAAATTGGAACAACTTCTTGTATTCTGATGGTTTAAAAATTATCTTTAAGGTTTTTGTATTGTATTGCTTTATTCTGCCAATTTGTTACAGGACTGTGGTTTTATGAATATGTCTAGGCTAATGTTCCGTTTCCTCTGACACATGAAATGCAAACTCCTCAGCCTGGCATAAACGCTCTATGTGGGTTGCTGTGAATACATTCCTAGAGACAGCTCAGCTCCTCTTCATATGAAACCAATGCTCCCACTGTGTTACATTTCTTCTTTAGGTCTTGGTAAATTCACAGATTCCATTTCCTGTGCTTTTAGCCCTAAATGTGAAAACTCTTATCCACTTGTTAAAACATACCACCAAATATCTGAGAATGTTAATGGATTTATTTTCTATCTATTTAAAAAAAAGTATGTATTCCTCTGAGCATCGTGCCACAGTCTTGTCATCCCAACACATGAGAAACAGAGCTCAGAAGACCATGAATTCCAGGCCAGACAGGAGCACATAGCAAGATTCTGTCTCCTGGTGGTCGGGTGGGGGCTGGGAAAGCAATTATTTCAGAATTTTCTAATTTACCTTTATTAATTATGCTGTCAGCTCTAAAATGACAGGACTCAAGTAGTCATTATATTTACTATAGATAGACGGTCATTGATTGGGTAGAAACACATAATCATACATTCATGGAGGCACTGTCAAAATAAGATGCCACCTACAGTTGCCCCAAACAATTAACATTTAGTAAAACAATTTTCTAACACATTGTTAAAGATAACACAATGACCTTGGTCCTCTTATCCTGTCTACATTGAGTCATGATGGACATTTGCTCTGGCTTGTGGGCAACTGAGAGGAATTAGATCCCTTATACCTGTAATTATGTCTGTGTAGTCTGCCACAAGATATTATTTTCCTAGTCTAAAAGCCTGTGTTGAAAATGTCATGTTTGGGGCGATTTCATTAACATTTTAAAATGCTAACAATTCTGTCAGCCCAAACCAAAAATGACTGTGTGAGAAATGAAAGCTTGCATAACTCTGGCACCAGCTAGTCACAGCTCATTATCTTCCTGGCTTTTATTATGCCAAGAGGGAGTGGGGTCAGCCTCACAAAATTTAGGGACAATTAAGAAAATTACTGTATGCAGATGTGACTTATGGACTGAGAATAACTAACTTTCTAAAAGCTCGAATTAAACAAAATAAATAAGGATGGTGGAAACCCCACAGCTGTTTCCTGGCTTACGGCAGCCTTTATTATCCACCATAAAGACTCCTTCTGGGGCTGTGCCCACTTCTCCTGACCCTGTCCTGAACACTTTGAAACTTTTTCTTTGACTGTATTCCTCTGAGAGTTTAAAAAAGTCCTAGTTATATTTTCTGAAGTTCTTTGAGCTCTTCTCTTACACACACCCACGGGGATGAAAATATTGTCACTGACCCCTATGCATTGTGAATTGCTTCTGGGCTCCAAACCTCACACTCTTTTATAACTTTCAAACTTTGTGGAATAAAATATGTGGAAATAAAAAGAAAAAAAAATATGTGGAAATAATCATGAGGATAGAGCCTGTCACCACAGAGACAAAAGTACAGGAAGCAAAAGAAAAGAAGAAAACTAGAGTGTAAGTAGCTAGATAAAAGTTTATATTTACTTAGGAAAGTATTTACTCATCAATGATCAATTTTTTCTCTACAGTGAATGATAGTGGAGACACAAATACAATAGACAGTTTCTTTCTCTGTAAATCAATTTCAGTAGCTATCTATAAAGCATGTTATTTGATAGGCTTTGGACTAAGTTACATAATAATGATCAACTAAATGGAATTTGTATTCTCAGAAGTCAGACAGGTCAGGGTGAATAGGCTAATGTCACTGTGGAAGTCGATGTAAAAAGTATCATGTGATCCTTGTGGAGAGAGATTTTAAAGCTTTAAATTACACTTATTTTTTGTTTGTGTGTGTGTGTATGGGCGAATATATGTGAGAATGTATGTGTGTATATATGCATGCATTTATGTATGTATGTGACACAGAAGACAACATGCAGGGGTCAGTTCTCTCCTTGCAGTTTGCAACTCTGGGGTGGGGTAAATGGAATTCAAGTCTTTGGTCATGGTGGATACTGATTCACACACTGAGCAATCTTGCCAGCCGGAGAAATACGATTTTACTATAAATTAAACCTTGGGAAGCCAGAAAAATCATTTGGCCTTGATAAAATGAATGGCTGAGGTACACACAACCCAAGTCAACAAAAATCCTTACTCGTTTTCCCTAAGCATTTTTAGAACACAAACTGGAAATTTTTTTTCTTGTCTGTTTTACCCTAGACAAGAATGCTAGATGATATAATGTGATTTTCAGTTGTGGTTTCCCCTGCTTCTTATGGACTGTCTTTCCGAATAAACACTGTTTGGAATTGTAAATTGACACTTTGCTTATGTACTGGTTAAAAGGAAAAGGCTTTTTTTTTTTTTTAAATAAAATCATGAACCTCACATATGACTAGGATGTAAACATTAAATTTGTGTAGATACTGCAAAATAAAATACACATAAAGTTTGAGCTTATGAAGATTAAAATGCTATTTGAGAAAAAGGGAAAGTTAAGATATAATATTCAATTTTATTAATAATAGATTAAAAAATTAATTTGAATTACTTTATTATTATTTCTTTTTTTAAATAAGGTTTGACTATGTATCCTTGGCTGGCCTGGAACTCATTGTGTAGCCCAGGCTGGTTCTGAACTCACAAAGATTCTCTTATTTCTGCCTCCCAATTCTGGGATTAAAGGTGTGTACCATCATACCCAATTTTCATTTTTGTTAATAATTTTAGGCTTTGCTTTGTCTTCACTCTTTCACGCACTTAGCTGTTAGCAGATTGCTTGTATAGAGTAAGTGCTCAGTACAGTTATCTGTAAAATTACAAAGATGTTCTGTTCTTTTACCAAATATTTGTGTTTTCTTAAGATATGACACTATTAAATTGCATTATATTCTGTATATTCAAATGCCACTTCTTTAAGAACATTGCTTTCAAATTTTTCTCAGTCTATAGGGATGATTAACCTCTGAAACAGCACTTATTCTCTGCCCATAGGTCATCCTCTTCTAAGTAAAAGTCAAGTAGCCTAAAAACATCACTGAAGGAATTCGCCATTTCCACATGAGGAATTACGTTTTATTTTAAATGGAGTTGCCCTTTTCATCTACTAAACAGAAATGTACCAAAGTATAATACACACATGTCATTAAGTATAAAAAAATAACAACATACTAGAAAAATGCTCTTATGGAATGCTTACTTCTGTATATTCATATTTTTATCTTGTCTATCATCTGTTAATCATTTGTAATCTATCTATATACCTATTTATCTTTCATCTATCTATCTATCTATCTATCTATCTATCTATCTATCTATCTATCTATCTATCTATCTACCTATCCAACCACATATCTTCTATTTTCTTTCTGGCACCTATCACAACAGTTCCACAAGTAGCAGAATCTTATGCCAATATCTTTATAATTTTACATCCATTTTCTTTAAGTAGAAATCAAACCTAAGAAACTAAGGCTGAGAGTAATTGAGTAACTTGACCAAGCGATATAAGAATCAAGAGGCAGAACTAAGATTCTAGCTCTGTGTGGCTTTAAAGTCTCTGCATTTAACCAGGTTCTAAATTGCCTGAAACAATATTAGGAGTAAGAAAAACCCCTTTCCATGTAACTAAATTTTTTCTGCATGTATTTAGAGAGATTTGTTCAGTTCTAATGATGTGGGAAGACTAAATTAGGAAAAACATATTCCTTGCTTTTATGTTAGCCAACCATGGGTTAATTGTTTTTCATATACAATTTTCTGGCCTTTTTATTATACTATATCAAGCTAGTCTATCTTATCTTTATTTACTAATTAGAACATTGAGGCTCAAAGTTTTTAAATATCTGCCAAGTGCTGTCCCTACAATACAATACTCAATAAAGAATCAAATTACAGACAACAGGCCACGAGACACTAAACTTTCGTTGCCCCTAACCAGCTCAGAGCTGTTGCCCTTTAGAGCTACCTAGAGTCAAGATTTCTGCACAGTGGATGGACAAGAAAATTTTACTTGCTATCCCATTTCTCTGGATGAGAACATAACCCAAGCTTTACATCCTACCTTGATAAATATTGTCCAGAAGTGAGATTTGTGGTTTTCACGTCCATGCAGTTCATCGTGCTTGGAAGGAGAGCAAGTTCTGGCTGGATCATGGTGGCTGTGGCTACAGCTCTTGCAACTAACTCCATGGCATCCTGAACATAGTACTCAAAGACAGACTGAGTTGTTTTCCCGTGGGCAATGAGCCCTAAGGGCAGGCCTTCTGTCCTCAGTTCCTCCACGTTCTGGGAGTCTCCTAGAACCCAGTGAAGCTCAGGAGGTGACAGCTCAAACTGCGTGGACATTTCAAAAATCTGCCGGATACTTTCCATGTCACAGCCAAACATCACCATTGTGGGTGTGCTGTTTTTAATGCTTTTCAGCTGGACCTGCAGGAAACTTAGGAGATCCTTGGTGGAGGACAGGTTAGCAGTGATGTTGAAGATGGACCCGAGGCGGAACTTGGAGTTATTCTCCGTAAGGAGAAGGAAGTCAGTGATATTCCAGTCTTCCTGGCATAGCAACAAGCTAAAATTGTACCAGTTGTTCATGGTCAGGATTGAGACAGTGACATCAGCATCAGAACTTAGTGAATTTTCTAAACTCAGCTGTAGGTGCAGGGGATTCTGTATTTAAAGATAATGAAAAAGAAGAATTAGAAAGCATTGCTCAAAGACCATAACGGTGCTTTTGCTTTCCTGTGAGGCTTCGTTATTTATTTTCCCCTTCAGTATTTCCTCTGAGATAAAATTCTCATACTTTGAAAAAAATAATGCTCTGTCTAATGAGCAATCAAATCTTTATCCTGATTTCCCGACAATTTTTGTTAAGAGTACCAGAGAGAGGGTAGCTCTTGGTGTAAACGTAAGACGTGATACAATCATATATTTGGTCATAGATTTTTATGGGGTTTGTCTTCCTTACAATCATTCCCTTTACTGCATCATATTTCTTACACTGTGTTTAATGACTCATTTGCTAGACATTTCACTCAGGAGAAATAATTGAAAGAAATTGCTTTGCTCTCTGTGAAACAACCACCAGAGTCAAACTAGCACAGTTCATCTCTTGTATAAAAAATATAGAAGATAACTAGACCTCTGGACCCTTGAGCAAGGGACTTGTAAAGCATGTGAAGTATTTTAGGGTACATACATCATGGTTAAGTGTACACTCCGATGTTAAAGGCTTGATTACATTTCTATTTGTGTTGATATTGAGCTCTTGCCATTGAATATATTCATGAAACTTAAATTACTATTTTTCTATTCATGGAACTTGCCAGCTCAATTAAGGAAGACTTTCTTAATTTAACAGTCACAATTATAAATTGCATAGTTGAAGGGTCATTTTTCAACATTAATATATTTGTCATTTATTCTTTCCAACAGCAGACACTTGACATATTTACCCTCCAACAATGATTTCCTGGGAAAGTTTAGAATAAAGCTTTGCAAATGTTGGTTGCAAGACAAATATTGATCAAATTAAATTAAGACTCTTTCAATTGGAAGTTATTGGACTATGTCTGAGAGCTTGCCAAAATTCTAATCTGTAATAATTTTCCTTTTCTACAACACACACCAAGCAATACTGGATAACTCATTTTTTTCTTGAATCAGGATAAATATTTTCATACAAACTCTCTTTTCACTTGGAAATGGATTTGCTTGCATTTATATTCATTTTTCAAAACTTAGTGCCTTTATCCAGATGCCTAGAAAGTCCTTTAGGTAGTTATTAACTGAAGTTCTCTCTACATTAAAGACTCTATAGACTGACTAGCTCCATAGAACAATTATAGAGACAACAGTTTTTAAATTAAGAACCAACATTATCAGGCTATATAAAACTCTCTCAAGCCATTTAGCTTACCTTCTGTGCTTGACCTGACAGTCTCATGAGTAGTAGAATATCATCTTGCAATGTGCTGCTAAGATTAACAGTCCTCTAGACTCCATCACTCCGAAAACTAAGAATGTGATAACATCTGGAATTTATAGGAATGATCCCCTTGCTTTACTGGAGCCTGCCTATCTGGTGCCCTAACGAAAAGTTTGCTGAATGTGTTTATTGATGTATGCATTTGTTTTGTGGATATAAAAGTCTATGTAAACTCTTCTGCTGCAGTACATATAATTTAGAACTACTGGATTTTGTGGTTGTGACTACCCGTATTTGGTTCAGAGTAAACTATTTCTTATTTCTTTGATTGTAGAGCTGTTTTGTTTTTTTACTTTTGTTTTTGTTTGTTTGTATGTTTGTGCCTTTACAATGTATTTGCCTTACTGATTTCCTAATGTGGTGACGTGAGTTTTTATTTGATTATTTCTGATGACTACAGACCTTAATCATCGCGTGAATGTCTTATGTTGATCATCCCTGCACTGAAGATTGACTCGCATGTACCACAGTGCTAATCTCATACAAGGACTAGAACTGTGTTTTAATCCTCTCTTCTGACAGACTGAGCCAGAGACAATGTATGTCAATTGGAATTATTCTTTCATTCACCCCAGTTCCTGGACTTTGATCATAATCTGAGAGACAAAAAAAAAAAAAAAAAAAAAAAAAAGATGGGAAGAAAAGCATTTCTAGCACACTTTCAAGGCCTGGCATTCGGGATTCTCAAAGCATAAGGAACAGGCTTGTATGAAGCCAAGGGTGATCATAGTGATAATTCAGCTCTAGCTGGAGACATAAAAGCATTTGTCAAGAGGAAGCAACATGAGACTTAGCTAAAGAATCCTTTCCTCCCCACAGAAGACAATGATTAACCCATGTCACCAGGCTCATGTCTACAATCAGCACTACTGAGGAACTCCAGATGTTGATGCTAATTCTTTCACAGTCTTAAGGGGGGCAGTTCTCCAAGTAAATATTTACTAGTAATAGTTTAGACGCACGTGGTGATACTTATCCAGCAGCTTTGCATGCAGCATCTTGTGTTTTCCTCGTCTCCCTCCCTCCCCACATGGGTCCACACACAAGTGCGCACACACATGTGCAAACATTCAAGTGTTATAGTACAGATTTTGTTAAAATCTTCAGAAAAAATTTTTTAAAAATTATCGAGCCAAATTAAGAAACTTTGTAAAAAGGAAAACAATAGAAGGGTTTTTCGATAGCCTACATTAAAATATTAGAGATGCAATTTTTGTAAGGCAAGAATAAGTAAAAAAACAGAAAAACAAAAAGAAAATTAAGAAGTAAATTGAACAAAACTTAACATATAAAAAGAACATCAATTAAATATACTGAATTAATATGTTATACATGAGATATAAAGCAAAATGGAAGAAAACATGAGGTTGAGTTGAGAAAACAAAACATTTAGAAAAATATTCTTGTTTAAATTCTTAATTCTGCAACATAAAAATAAATTCCTGTTGGGCAGTAGTGGTGTATGCCTTTAGTCTCAGCACTTCAGAGGCAGAGGCGGGAGAATCTCTAGTTTGAGGCCAGCCTGTGTAGAGAGTGAGTTCCACAATAGTCAGGGCTACACGGAGAAACCCTGTCTCAAAAAAACAAACAAACAAACAAATAAATAAGTAAACAAAATAAATTCCTACCTACTAATAGTATAAATATAATGCCAAATAATTAAAAGTAGACCAACTAGGTAAATATGTGAGGATGAAAGATTCATTAAACTGAATACTATAGTCTATTATTTCTGGAATTATAATCTATCATTAACAAAAAGGGAAGGAACATAAAAATATCAACATTTGCAGCCCTGGTAATAAACAAAGAGCTCGTGTTCATAATAAGTATGGAACATTTCCTAGTAAACAAGGGAACAGAATTTTTACTGAACACCCATCCAGTCCCAGAAAGGCAACTGTTTTTTTTTTTTTTGAGAATTTTTTTATTTATTCTTTATTAATTACACTTTATTCACTTTGTATCCCCCCTGTGGTTCCCACCCTCCTCCCATCCCAATTCCTCCCTTCTTCCACCCTCTGCATGCATGCCCCTCCCCAAGTTCACTGATAGGGGAGGTCTTCTTTTCCTTCCTTCTGATCCTAGTGAATTAGGTCTCATTAGGAGTGGCTGCAGTGTCTTCTTCTGTGGCCTGGTAATGCTGCTTCCCCCTCCTGGGGAGGTAATTAAAGAGCAGGCCAATCAGTTCATGTCAGAGGCAGTCCCTGTTCCTATTACAATGGAACCCATTTGGATACTGAACTGCCATGGGCTACATCTGTGCAGGGGTCTTAGGTTATCTCCATGCATAGTCGTGGTAGGAGTATCAGTCTCAGGAAAGACCCCTGGGAGCAGATTTTTTTGGTTCTGTTGCTCTCCTTGTGGAGTTCCTGTCCTCTCCAGATCTTACTGTTTCCCACTTCTTTCCTAAGATTCCCTGCACTCTGCTCAAAGGTTACCCACAAGTCTCAACATCTGCTTTGATAGTCTGCAGGGCAGAGCCCAGAAATGCAATTTTTAACCGTCTTCTGTGAGTTGTGCCCTCTGCCTATGTATAGAGAGGACAACTTATAAGTAGCTAAAAATCAATAATTTATATAACTATAAACCCTAGCAGTTACAGCCAATCAAATAGTGAAGCATGGCAGGACTCGGAAGGAGGGAGTGTTCCAGGAAGAGGCTAGCACAGTGGGAGGGTGCAGAAACTCGTGTTGTACACACCCTCTGATTGAACTTCAGGAGAGTAAATAAGAGATGCATTGAAATCGGGTGATCACTAGATAGGTAGACAGCGATTTACTATAAGAACACAAGTAATTCATTATTGACTCTATTAAAACGTCAGCTTCTGCTGGTCATTTTATAATGCTTGTATCTTTCTCACTCTAGATGAATGATGGCTCCACGTTATGCTTCCATATTCCTCCAGTCTGACCCTGAAGCGTCCTTTTCAATAGTGTCTCCAGTGTTCTCTCTTAGACCTCATGCTTTCCATGCTGTTTATGTGACTTTTCCTTTCACTTGTGCTATGTGATATTAGGGCCCAAATTAGAGGGCTGGGGTGAGCTCTATGAAAATTAAGTCTCCATCACTTGCAAGTTATCAGAACACCTGAAAATAGTTTATCATTCTGGAGTCATAGACTCCTATATCCAAAATGACCCCAATATACCATCGCTAACCTTGATTCCTTGTAAAAATTAAGTGTGGAAATGTGGTATTGCATGGAAAGTTTCCGGCACTGGTGGAGTACGCCATAAGTGGTACCTGTGGAAATTTGCTTGTAGAATGTAGTCCTTGAATTGGAAGTGTTTGTTAAAGTGATTATTTTATTGCTGTGCTCTCTCACATTTCATCTATATGCACACAGTGGTCATGGTAATGACACATTTTGAATTAAATTTTTATTTTTTATATTAATTACAGTTTATTACTTTGTATCCCAGCTGTAGACCCCTCCCTCATTTCCTTCCAATCCCACCCTCCTTCCCTCATCTTTTCCCAAGCCCCTTTTCAGGTCCACTGATAAGGGAGGTCCTCCTCTTCTTCCATCTGCCTAGGGGCTTATCAGGTCTCAGCAGGACTGGCTGCCTTCTCCTCCTCTGTGGCCTGGTAAGGCTGCCTCCCCTTCAGGGGGAGGTGATCAAAGAGCCAGCTGCTGGGTCCATGTCAGAGACAGTCCCTGTTCCCATTACTATGG